GAGCTTGAGTATCTAGACGTGAAAACGATTTTCTTATATGGCGAACTTGAAGAAGACATTTACACGAAGCAGAGGAGGGTTTAAATGAGGATCATGTATATTCACTAAAGAAATCTCTTTATAGGCTTAAGTAGTCTCTCTGACAAGGGAATAAGAGGTTTGATTCTTTTATGGTTTCTCTTAAGTTTAAGCGAAGTAACTTTGATAGTATTGTTTACTTCAAAAGGGGTCACATTGGTTCACCCATATATCTACTTCTTTATGTTGGTGATATTTTAATATATTCAAACAATAAAGAAGAGATTAGACAGTTGAAGACTCGAGTTAATAAAGAATTTGAGATGGAATATTTGGGTTCTCTGAAGAAGATCCTTACAATAGAGATTAGAAACGACATAAAAGCTGGTAAATTGTACGTAGTAAAAAAGGGTACATTGAAAAGGTTCTTCGCAGATTTAATAGGCAATGTGCTAAGCTTGTGAGCACTCCGCTGATAGCTCACTTAATACTTTCATAAGATTATTGGACAAATTCAGAAGAAGAGGTAGAGTACATGTCATTTGTTCCATATTCTAGTGCGGTGGGGTCTCTAATGTATGTTATGGTTTGTACGTGTCTAGATTTAGCATATGTTGTCACTTCAGTAAGTAGATACATGGAAAATCTTGGTAAAGAACATTGGAAATCTATCAAATGGATTTTCAGGTATCTTCGTGGTACTAGTGATGCTTGCTTGCAGTTCGGGCAAACTAAAGATTAAGTCGTGTGGCATGTTGATTATAATTTTACAAGATATCTTGATAAAAGGAGATCACTTATTGGGTACGTCTTCATGGTTGCAGGATATGCCATTAGTTGGAAAGAAACACTCTAGAATAAGGTCTCCTTGTCAACTACAGAAGTAGATTACAAGATGATCATTGAATCTTGTAAGGAAGCGATCTAGATAAAGGAACACTTTGGTGAACTTAGTGAAGACCTTCAGATTAGTACAGTGTTCTATGATAGTCAAGGTGTTATATTCTTAATGAAAGATTAAATGTTTCATGGGAGGTTGATAACTCTCCTAAAGTGTTATTATTTAGAGCCTTTTTACTTAAGTTTGATCTTGTACTTCAATATTTTAAGATCATATTTAGAGTGTTTTTAGTTAATTTTGCATTACATGCATTTTTGAAAGTAAGTTGGTAATTCTTGGACTAATTATGCTATTTTGCTATAATATTGTTACCCTGATATTGTGACATTCTTTGATGCAACAGAAGTTGTGAGTTACTGCGAAGCAAGATTGCTAAATCATTGTTGTAGCAATCAATATGTGGGCAGAAAGCTGTTGACAGTTGTACATAATCCTATTATGGAAAGAATTGAAAAGTATAAAGAAGTCTTAATGGAAAAAGAGTCTCAATTTAATACGACCTTAAACTCAACTTTTTATAGTTTTTAATTAATATATAAAGGAGGTGGCATCACTTAATGAAGGGTGTTGGGCTCGAAAAAATCAACCGAAAACCTCCAAGAGTGGGTGAATTGGCTAAATAAAATTTTGGGAGTATGGATAGAAATGATAGAAAAATTTGCACAAATATTTAAAGTGGTTCAACTTCCTCAAATGAAGTTTACATCCACTACCTTAGCTCCACACTAAGTATTTCTAACAAATTCACTAATTTGTTCTTTCTTTTTCTAGGTTCAAGAGTAACCTTTTACAACTCCCTAGTTTTCAAAGGCTAAACTAGAACCAAACCCCTTTTACAAAAAGATAAGAAGATTGTAAACAAGAAAATCTCACAAGGTAGGTGTTTACACAATTAATCTCACTAAAACACTCTACAAGAGAAAAGGAAAAATAAGATTGAAAGAGTTTTTCTCTTGGTATGAATTGCTTGGATAGGTATTGTGACCTTCTTTAAGTGTCCTTGGGTTGTTTTTGTAGTGTAGAATGAGTTGCTAGTTGTTTATGGACATTGGGGATGAGTTATAGCTGTTGGAAGCATTCATTTCTCATAATTGTGGCTACTTGGACATAAAGTTTTGAAACTTTAAGGAGAGTTTCGAAACTTTAATGCAAGTTTCGAAACTTTGAAGAAAGTTTTGAAACTATTACTTAAAAATATGACCGTTGAAAAAATCATACCGTTAAAACTATTTCAGGGGAAAACTTTTGAAACTTACTATTCATGAACAGTACTCATTTATGAACAGTGTCGTGAACAATGTCAAATAGTGAATGAATAGTGTCTTTCATATTTTAAAAGCTTTAAACACATTTTAAACGCTTTAAACATATTTTAATTGACTCAAAAATTATTTCATATATATAAATCAATTTAGAAAACATATTTTTCAAGTTATTTTGGAATTTGAATTATTTTTTAAATATTTGATTAAGTTCAATTAAGTCCAAAAACGTTTTGTCCTTCTTTGTTATATCAAACTATAGGTTCAATAAATGGAGAGTTTTTTAGGGTTTTATTTTATTCTTTTCTTTATTCACCATCAGCTATGGCCGCTTAGGCAATTTTGGAGAAGAGCAATAGCTAGACATGAAGGCAACTCTACTACGCCAAGAGGGTGGTGGCTGGTGATCAGCGACAGCATCAAGGACAACAACTATGAAAAAAATCCAATAAGAGAGTTTTATTTTTGTTTAGTTAAAATACTCTTTAACTTGTGCAGGATTTGTGAAACCTTGGATTCTTATGTTTTAAAAAATATATTTTCTAAATTTCATGTTTAATTAATTTTGTTCATTCATTCGATTGGTGTTTGCTCGATTTTATTAAGACTTTTAGTATAGAAATATATAAGTCCACGATCCATTTCATCAAGAGGTGAGTGGCATTGTTGGAGCATCAGTGATTGCGATAACAATGTTTCAGTGTAGAAAAATCTAGTTGACTGATTGTCATAGCAGTCTAAGTAATTTTTCACAAATGAGTATAGAGATATAGTACTACTATGAGTTTTTAGTTGGAGCCATCGAGAGATAATAACTTGTTAAGTTAATGCTAGACACATCGATCTTATTATTGTGACATCGTTAATTTTATGATTGAGTTTAACAATACCACAATATTTTGCTTGAGTCAATCCACTGCTTTCATTGTCACTACTGTGATTCCCTTCATCTATTCATATTTTCATTCTCGTGTTTATTTTACTTTTATATTTTTATTGCTTTGTTCACAACATCACCTACACAATTCTGTTATTTTACTTAAGATAATTCTTTGAGTAATACTAGTGTTTATTGATACGATACTCGATGCATTAATTTACATCCACTTTATTAATTAATAAGATATTGTATGCTTGCAATGAATGTTGTTACATTATTCAAAGCATTAGCGGATGAAACATATTGATATTCTCTATCACTTTGTGTGTGATGTGATTGCTCGAGGTTACATTTTTGTAAACAATGTTAGCACTCACGACAATCATGTTGACATGATGACCAAATTGCTCCCTACAGTCAAGTTTGAGTATTACTTGGACTTGGTCAGTGTCCATTATTGAAGATAACTCCTGGAGGGGTGTTGTGGAAGAGGTCAATAACTTTTTCGTTGAAGTGAAGAATTATTTTTTTGTCTCATCAAATTTGGGTATTTTTTCTTGAATCCTTCGCTCTTTCAAAATGTGTCCAGGTGAAGATTTGTTAAAGTTTGACTCGAATTCAAAGTGACATAATTTAATTAGAAAAGTAATAAACCTAGTTTGATTAAAATTAAAGAACTTTATTAAAGTATAATACTTTATTAAAGTAGCTTTTTATAAAGTATTTTTTTAATTTATTTAGTTTCCTTTTTAATTAAGTATATACCCCTATAAATAGATACTAAAGATAAGAGTTAGATATTATGTTTTTCATTCTCTCCTCTTATATTTTCTTCCTTCGTATTAGTAAAATTATTTTTCTCTACCTGTGGTTTTTTCTTAAAGGATTTTCCACGTAAAATCTTGATATCTATTTTATTTGGCAATCATTATGCATGTCGTTATCATCTAACGGGAAAGATTCGTTCAAGTGCGATAATTAATGGTCTGATCATTTTTAAGTATTTGTTTATTTGGTTTATATTTGTTCATATTTGCAATCTTTTGATGTAAATACTCGTAAGTGTCTAGATTACTTGCTTTCTTTATCAACTCAGTTTTTTTTAAGAGCATCCATTCAGCTTCTGCCTTTTAAAAAAAAATGAAGTTGAGTCAAATAAAGGTCGCAAGACTGTAATACGATGATGTAAAAACACATTCCTCATAAGTTGTATTGCAATATCATGTATAAACATCTACTACTTTTTTGTACGATTTTTTGTTCATATTTTTAACAAGACTATGCTAAGATCTCTACAAACATGAAGATTTATGTCTCTTGTGTTTCCTTTTTAAAACTTTAGAATATGATTTTTCTACGGGATGCATTTAGTTCTAATCGGTCCTCTTTAAAATATGATTTTTCAACGATGAACAAGGTTGTCTATGGTTGGTTTTGATGGTTATTGTTAAGATAATTTTGTAAACTTAAATAAGTTTAAATGTTTCAATCCTAAACAAATAAAAATTCTTAAAAATTATAATTTTTGATAAAAATATAATTTAATTATATTTGTATTAAAATTTAAACTAAATAATAAGGACAGTTTAATTAGTGGTGTGTATCGGTATGTCATATTAATGGTGTGTTTAATTAGGGATTCTTAAAAATTAATCGTAGATAGTTTATTATATTTTTTTTCATATTTATTTAATAAGGACAGTTAAATTACTTAAAAATATATTATTTTTATTGCTTTGTTCACAACATCACCTACACAATTCTCGTCATATTAACATGGTTAATAATTATATCAATATAGTAATATTTACCGATGATTCTTTGATCAAAAAGTTAAAAGTAATACTAATATGAATGAAATTTAGGTTTCAAAAGTTCGATTGGACGCGATTTCTGTGAAGAAAACGATATTTTGTAGGACGTTAAAATGCTCTTAATCCAAAGAAGAAATACAATTTTATAAATTAACAAAAGAACTTATGCTTAAGCTTTATGTACACTAATAATTGAACAAATTTCGTTTTGTGTTTGTTAACAGTCGCAAGTTTCCATTTGGCTCTCCATCTTCGGATAATTCAACAAGCCACGTAAGCATGCCTATCCTGATTTAGTAAGCGTCGTCAAAATCGTTTACTTGTTTTTTCACATGACCGCAAGCCTCGAACACCCAAACGGATGGGGAGATAACGGAGTTAACGGAGGGATACTGAATATTCCCTTCATATCTTCACTATCCCAAAACCCCGTCCAATTCGACGGCGTTAAACATGCTCCCGGTGTTACATTTTCCGCTTCCTTCGCCGGCACCGCCGCTTTTACCTCTCTTTTCACTACTTTACTCTCCACGTTTCGTTCTTCATCCTCTTCTTCTCTTTTCCTTTTCGTACAAGACGAAATCAAATCCTCTGTTAATTCCGAATCCCCAGAATTAGATTTCCCAGCTTCAAGAGGGAAATTCACAATCGCCCTGCTTCCCCGCAGCTTAAACGCAGCTCTATCATAAGCTTTGGCAGCTTCGATGGCGGTGTCGAAGGTCCCAAGCCAAACCCTAGCCCCTTTTCTGTTCGGGTCTCTGATTTCCGCAGCGAATTTGCCCCACGGTCGTCTTCTAACGCCCCTGTAATGCCTTTTCTGGTCACAATCCTTCGTGCTCACGCTCAGTTTTGCTGCCGGAATCGTCACGTTCACAGCAGGACGACGTTGGCTTAGAGTAGATTGTTTAGGGGTGGAAGTTTGAGGGAATTTTGGGGTTTCAACCATGGAGGTACAGTGATCGAGATTGGTAAGAAAAGAATCAAAGGAAGTGAAGTCTGTAAGAAGATGTTGGGTGATGAGTTCCATGGCTGATGATTCTTCAGAAGTTGACATTTATGTTATGTAAAAATGATTCTGAAGATACTTTTCTGGTAATTGAAAATGGAAGAGAGATGAAAGATTTGGAGTGGAAAGGATAGAGCGTGGGGGTTGGTATTTATAGGGAAAAAAAAACTAGTTGCGGGGGGGGGGGGGGGTTATTTCATACTACCTTCCAGGATAGGCCCGGGAAGGATCGTGGGGACCAAATTGTCTTTTGTCTGGAATTTTTTATGTTCCAAATCCAAAACAATACTCAAATTAGACCCTAATATTTATTAAAAATTGTCATTTTGGCTCTTGTTCCTCTTTCGGAGCATTTTGATCTTCAAACTTTCATTTTAAGGTAGAAAGGTTTATTTATCACTTGTGAATAAAAATTGTTAGTTAAAACAAAATTAAAATTAACGTTCTAAAATAGAGGTTTTTACATTAAAATGAAACTTAAGAGCTAAAATATTTTATAAAAAAAAGAAAAGGGCCACAATAGCTAATTTGTCAAATGTTGGGATCTTTTTGTCCTAAAATGAAGGCGAAGTACTCAAAAAAAAAAGAAAAAAAGAATAGAGACCAAAATAATCATTTTGTAAACGTTGAGAGCTAATTTTGACATTAAGCCTAATAAATTATAGGATAAACTATTTATTTGGTCACCCACTTATTAATTAGTTTTTGTTTTGGTCACTCTACTATTATTATATCTAACGTTACTTTTGGGTTCTATTATAGTCACCTATTGTTAAAAAAATAAACGGTGATACTAACGTGATATTTTTTATTATTTTTAATATTGATGTGATATTATCTTATAGTGACACATCAGTATTACCGTTAATTTTTGAAAAAAAAAATGTAACGTTGAGTACAATTTTGAAAAAAAAATAGATTGTGACTAAAACAAAAACACAGTAATAGATGGGTGACCAAATAGGAAAATTACCCTAAATAATAGTCTTAGCTTCCAGGGTGCTTCTTCGGCTAGTACATTGGATTCTGAGCTATGATTGCTAATTTGTTTATTTGTATAATTTACTACCAAATGTTGAAAGAGTATCCATTCAGTCAAACTATTTATACTACTATACAGCTTTCAATATCCGTAGGACTTTTAATTACCACGTTTTTCAAATGTAATTAAATAATAATAAACCAGTCAACAAGCAATTTACTACTGGATAACCCTATTTGTAGAAATGGATAAGAACTTGCTTCGATGGGTGATTACTTGTCTCCCCGATTTATTCTATGCTTTGGATAAATAAATAGCCAAAACCAAAATCCATTCTCGTGTTCTTTAAGAAATTTAATGCATTCATCGTATTTATGTCTAATATAACTAAATCTAATCATTTATATATTGGGTAAAGTACTCAAATGGTCCCTTACTATAGGATACTGCTTTATTAAATCTCCCGACTATTAAAAGTTACAAAATAATCACTCAACTATTTATTATATTCAATAATTGATTGTATATTAAAAAAATCATTAATTGATTGTATGTTCAATAATGTTTAAATTGTTTTATTATATGTAGATCTAAATCTAGAAATTTACCCTAAAAATATTATACCTTTACTTAAAAAAATACATGCAAATATATATATTAACATTAATATTTGTCTTTATCTTTATTTAATTTATACCTCTAGATTAATTAGGATTTATATTATTATTGTAAATTGATCTTGTACATGTGTATTTATTTATTCATTCAGGTACAATTCTACTATAAATAGAGATGAATACAACAAATACATAGGTATAATCTTTTGCTGTTGTAAAAATTGGATTAGAGATTGAAACCCTTAATTCTCAAATTAAAAAAATAAGTTATGATTTAATATTAAACTAATATAGAATTCATGTTAATATATTTATTATAGTCTAATGATTAGTATGCTTATAAAGCCTTGAAATGCCTATAAGGCTTAAAATTAATAGCTCAATAATCCCAAGTGATGTACTTGTTGAATTATAAATCAATCTCCTCAACGTTTTAGATCGGATTCAAACGTTGTTTAACATATGCCAAATAAACTTCACAATCCTTGCTTGACATCTTTTATGCTTCCATCGTAGAAATCATATTAGAAAAAAAACTCGTCTTCCTCCGATTAATCTATTTCCATAGTTATATCGAATCTCTGAAATTATGATTTCATCAAATTCATCAAAAAATAAGATCATAAATCATCAACAAACACTTAAAATAAGGAACTAGTAACAACAATTATTATTTCGCTCCCTTCTATTGAAATTCTTGTAATATTGATTATCTTTGTATTATAAATTTGTATTATAAATTTATCTTGTACATACATACTTTTTTCTCACATAGACAAATATAGCAAAATATGTGCAACCTTTGTTATCTAAACATCCATATTAAAAGTTTAGGTAAAGTATATAATTAGTATAGGCATCCACTTATTTATCTCATTTTCTTCATCACTCTATCGGTTAAATTTTTTTTCTTCAAAATCTCTTTAAAGTTCACATAATTAAACACTAAAAATTCACTAATTTTAGGTGTTTAAAACTTTGTTGGATTTTAGGGGTTTTAGATGTTTATTTGAAAATATCAAAAATGAGAAGTATTCTCTTAAAAGAATAATAGCATAACTCAAACTAATCTCACCTCGCTAGACAATCGGAGAACGAGATCATAACATTAGAAGGTTGAAGCTTTTGATGAGTATTCATCAGTTGTAGATGTGTTTCATGAAAAATCAATTGGAGGTGAATAAAGTTAACAAAAGTGTAAATATTTCAGTATCTATCTTACCATGAACGACAACATGTGATGGGCAACAATTAATTAACAGTGAAACCTGAAGGAATATAACGTTTTCTATAATAAAAAGGAAAGTTTATCATCGCATAATTAACAACCCAATAAAAACTAATTCAAAAAATTAGTACTTTTTGAAACTTTTTATAATTTTATGATCAAAATAAGAAAAGTTTGAAATTTCAGTGACTAATTGTGTAGTTTATTCTAAAAAAATATATCAGTCAAATAAATAATTTATTAACAGAATTCAAAAGATAATATATTTGTTTAAGTTGGAATGGTTGAATCTGAGGAAAAAGAAAACATTTTGAATCGTCAAACAAAATTGGGAGACGAAGAACCTGCTTGGAAGAAAACAAAGGCCAGTTGCTTGCTTTAAGAAGATGGACATCTGATCTTTGGTAGTCTTTGCGGTGGCCACCATTTTTGACAGCCACACAATTTGTTGACATTCATCCAACCAATTCATCTAAACCAAATTCCAGTGTTTGGTGTTTCATTGTATATATAATTTTAGACTTTTTTACTGATCTTTTATATATTTTTTAATCCTTCTTGTAAATTTTATATTTTTTAATAATTTAATTATATTTATATAAAAAAATATTTTAATATTTATCACTTTAGATGTTTTAATCATTTTTAAATACATTTATATTTTTTTTGTGTAAAATAATAAAAAATAATTTATCTTTGACAAAAGGAAAAATAACTTACACAAGTTCGTTATCTTTTTTTTTAACAAACAATGAAGAACTTAACTAAGATCAAGTCTTGTTCTCATGATAACTTTGTCCTTAGACAAGGTGGTTTAAACTTCTAAAGCATCAACAAGCTTGTTGGAGGCACGCGAGATGTGGCCAACAGTTTCCACAGTCGATGAATATAAGATTGGATTCGCTTGAACAGAATGGTTCCGTTTGACTGGATCAGAGAGTTAATATGTCGTATTGCTTCAAGATTATCCATCTCCACTACCAAATGCCTAACACCTTGCTTCCAAGCTATGTCCAGTCCATCGAGGAGCGCCCAAAGTTCTACATGGTAAGCCGAATAGCAACCGATGTTTCTTTTCTAGCCTGTGATCCAATCCCCTTTATCGTCCCTGAGCATTCCACCTCCAGAGGCCTCCAAAGTGCTTGGGTTCGCCGCATCGTCGGTGCTAAGAAGAACAACACCGGCAGGAATCGGTCTTTAGTGGGACTTTTTGTGGCTCCTGTTGGAAAGTGTGGTTTTCCCCTGGTTGTTCTTTAAAATTCCCGCCCAAGCCCTCGCCGATTGGATAATGGCTATCACCGTCCAGCCTTTGCCATTGAAAATGAAGCAATTTCTCTGCTTCCAAAGTCTCTACACCAGGATTCCAAATAAATGGCGCCAGCGATATTCTGCACAAATGAGGTTAGAAGGTTTAGAAAGACTATTATTAAGCCAATCAGTAAGGGACGAATTAAAACATTCTTATAAGAGTTTGGAATTAGCACTTCCCAGACAAGACGAACTTGGGAACAGTCTCTCAGAGCGTGGAAAATGGATTCATCTTCCACTCCACAGATTGGATATCAGGCATCACCTGTAAGACCCCGTCTGCTACGCTCCGTGTTAGTCATGAGGCGATTGCGGAGGACGAGACCATTGCAAGGGGTGGAATAATAATAACCAGTTGAACCAAGCCTTCTCTTAAAGTTTGCCTCAGCATGTTTATATTCTAGTTGTCATCCTTGGTGACAAAGTCACGAACGACCGCCTGAGGAAATGAGACATGGGCGGTGGTGACTTGATTGATCAACGGGTTTTGATTCGGCAACCAAGCATCAAACGAGAAACTGGTTCGGCATCCATATCCAAGGGACCAATTAACGTTCTTGTGGACGTAAGGCCAAATGTGAGCAAGGGATATATAAATGAATGAGCCATTCTTCGCATCCAGGTGAGCAGGCACTGCTTGCTTGATTTTATATTTGGAGCGAAAAAGCTGGGTCCAAATGGAGTTCGTTCTCGTAAGGAGGTTAAAACCATGTTTAATGAGAAACGCCTCATTTTACGATCTAAAAGGGCGAATACCAATTCCACTATGTTTAGTGGGCTGACAACATGTCGCCCAATTGACAAGGGAAGGTTTCGAATGATCTTTCGAGCCAACCCAAATGAACCACCTCGCCATTTGCTCAATTTGGTCACAAACTCCTTTAAGGATTGTGACCGTTTGTATGAAGTATTTAGGAACTGTGAGGAGTATTGATCGAGCAAGCACAACTCTCCCAACTAAGGATAGTTTCGT